TTTTGTCACTGTCCATTCGTAATAAAGATTTGTTGAGCAAGTAACTGAACAAAGGTCACATTACGCCCTCTTTATATATATTTTTTATTATCTTATTTTGAGACAGGGACTCGTCCGTCCTCCAGGCTGGAGTGCTGTGGTGCAATCACAGTTCACCGCAGCCTTGACCTCCAGGGTTCAGGTGATCCTCCTACCTTAGTCTCCTGAGTAGCTGGGACTACAGGCACATGCCCCCATGCCCTGCTAGTTTTTGCATTTTTAGTAGACACAAGGCTTTGCCATGTTGCCCAGGCTGGTCTTGAACTCCTGAGCTTGAGCAGTCTGCCCATCTCAGCCTCCCAAAGTGCTGGGATTATAGGCATGAGCCACCTGGCCTATTTAAAAAAAAATTTTTGTAGAGATGAGGTCTTACTATGTTGTCCAGGCTGGTCTAAAACTCCTGGGCTCAAGCGATCCTCCTGCCTCAGCCTCCAAAAGTGCTGATATTATAGGGATGAGACACCATGCCCAGCTCCCCTGCCCTTTTTTTCTTTTAACATTAAATAAAACTATATGCCCATTTTATAGATGAAAAAACGAGGCTCAGAGAGGTTACTGATCTTGCAATTAAGTGGCGAAGTCAGAATTAGAACCTGGATCAGATTCAGGGTCCTGTTCTCTCCACTGATTGGCCCCTGCTGCTTCAGGGAGCAAATGGGGAGGGCCAGGGTGATGGGGAAGGGAGGCAGCTCTTATGGGAGTTCTCCCAAGAGAGCAGCAGCACAGGGCCTGGCACAGGACACTGGTGGTCTGGCCTCACCCTTATGGGGAACAGAACTTTGTGGATGCGCCTTTTCCTCCCCACTGGTTACCATGGAGATGGGGGTGGGATGTGTGAAGATCTGTCTCAAGCCTGCTACCCAGGCTTGTCCCAGAGATGCCAGCAGTAGGTGGACACACTAACCATTGAGAGGAAGGAAGGAAAAAGCTGGTCTTTACCTCTTTTTTTCTTTTTATTGTGAAAGCCCCAAACACATACAGGAACATGGCGTGTGGAACAGTAAGCCTGGCTTCAGCAGTTAAAGTCTCAGCCAAACTTACTGTATCCACGTCCCTTCCCCTTCTCTCATCCCAGATTATTCTGAAGCACATTTCAGACATCAGCCATTTCTTTTACAAACATTTCAGTGTATAACTCCAAAGCATTTGGTTTTGGCCACCCTTGTACCTCCTCAAACTATTTAATAACAGGAATGCCTTTACTATCAGCAAATATCCGGTTAGTACTCAAATTCCTCTGGTTATCTCATAAAGTGTTTCTTTAGTTAGTTAACATCAGAATCCAGGGCCGGGCGCGGTGGCTCAAGCCTGTAATCCCAGCACTTTGGGAGGCCGAGGCGGGTGGATCACGAGGTCAAGAGATCGAGACCATCCTGGTCAACATGGTGAAACCCCGTCTCTACTAAAAATACAAAACATTAGCTGGGCATGGTGGCGCGTGCCTGTAATCCCAGCTACTCAGGAGGCTGAGGCAGGAGAATTGCCTGAACCCAGGAGGCGGAGGTTGCGGTGAGCCGAGATCGCGCCATTGCACTCCAGCCTGGGTAACAAGAGCGAAACTCCGTCAAAAAAAAAAAAAAAAAACATCAGAATCCAAATAAAGTCCGAAGGCTGCGCTCGACTGGGATGGCTTTGTATGTCTCCTAATCGGTAGCTTCTCTCCCCTTGTATGTGTTCCCTTGCAATTTATTTGTTGAAGAAACTGGCTTGTTCATTCTGTCATTTCCTGTGGTCTGAACCTTGGTTATAGCATCTCCATAGAAGTGTTAGGTGTTCCTCTTCCCGCTATATTTCTTAGAAATTAGTAGTTAGGTCTAGAAGCTCACTTAGATCGATGTTTGATTTTTTTTTTTTTTTTTTTTTTGGTATGACTACTTCCTATTGGGGGTTATGTGCTTCCATTCAAAGGCACATAATATCTGGTTGTTCCTCTTTGTGATGTTAGCAGCTGTTGTTGATGATCATTGTCTAGCTCTGCAATTTCTTTTTTTTTTGAGGTCTTGTACTTGTCACCTAGGTTAGAGTGCAGTGGTACAATCATAGCTCTCTGCGGCCTTGACCTCCTGGGCTCAAGGGATCCTCCCACCTTAGCTGGGACTATAGGCACATGGCCACATCTGGATAATATATATTTTTTCTTTTTGCAGAGATAGGGTCTTGTTATGTTGCCCAGGCCTGTCTTGAACTTCTGGCCTCAGGCAATCCTCCCACCTCGGCCTCCGAAAGTGCTGGGATTGCAAGCATGAGCCGCTACACCTGGCCCATTATTTCATTAGAGATTACAACATGGTGGCATACTGATTCTATGATTCTGTCTTTGGTAATAGAAGTAGGTCTATAAAAGGTATCAACTTCTCAACTATTTGGCTACCAAAAAGCATGGTTTGTACCAGAAAGGATAAATATTTATTTCCCTTTCTTTGACGGTTTTCAAAATGAGTTGGTTTTCCAATATCCTCCAAAGGTGACAAATGAATTTCTTTTTCTTTTCTTTATTTTATTTATTTATTTATTTATTTTTGAGACAAAGAATCTCACTCTGTCACCTGGCTGGAGTGCAGTGGCATGTTCTCGGCTCACTACAACCTCTGCTTCCTGGGTTCAAGCAATTCTAGTGCCTTAGCCTCCCAAGTAGCTGAGACTACAGGTGTGCATCACCATGCCCCACTAATTTTTGTATTTGTAGTAGAAATGGGTTTTCACCATGTTGGCCAGGATGGTCTCAATCTCTTAACCTTGTGATCCTCCCTCCTCGGCCTCCCAAAGTGCTGGGATTACAGGCCTGAGCCACCGTGCCCAGCTCTTTTTCTTTTAAAGTATCATTGTCAACTCATAGATTTGGACATGTTTCAATCCATTACAGTTATTATTATTATTATTATTATTTTGAGATAGGAGTCTCACTCTATCACCCAGGCTGGAGTGAAGTGGCACAATCCTGGCTCACTGCAACTTCTGCCTCTCAGGTTCAAGCGATTCTCCTCCCTCAGCCTCCCAAGTAGCTGGGATTATATGTGCACACGACCACACATGGCTAATTTTTTTGTATTTTTGGTAGAGACATGGTTTCACTATATTGGTCAGGCTGGTCTCGAACTCCTGACCTCAAGTGATCCACCCACCTTGGCATCCCAAAGTGCTGGGATTACAGGCGTGAGTCACCGCACATGACCTACAGTCATTATTCTTAATAATGCTCAAACTCTTCCATTGGGAGCCTCTCCACGTTGTCTCCTGCATCCTTTTCAGTGTAACCCTGGAGATCATTGACACCTTCCTTGCTATGAAGGAAGCAAGGAATGACCAGATGTTCCATGTTCCTCTTTACTTTTTTTCTTGCCTCAGACCTAGAATTGATCATGTCTCCATGCCCTTTCTAGTTGGGAGTGGTATTTAGAGACCATAACCTGGCTGCTAGGTGCTCACTGCTACTGGATGGCTTATTTCTAAATTTTGCTGTGGACAGAGCTAGCAAACACCTGCTTTACTTTGTAAGACAAAAAAAAATACAGCACAAATTCATACTGATGCTTCCAATTCCAATTTGGGGTTACAGGTTTTTCACCTTGTTTCTGTGATCTTACATGGTATCTGCGTTCTCATAGTAGATAAACCAGTTGCTTCCAGTGTCCTCTGTGTGGGTCCTCACAACTAGCTTCTCTGCATCCTGGCTGCACAGTGGCATCACATGGGGAAGTATAAAAGCTCTCTGATGCCTGTCCCCACCCACCTTAATCACAATGAAGTCAGATTCTCCGGGTCTGGGATACTACCATCATTCTTTTTTTTTAAGAATTGCAGGTAGGCTGGGCATGGTGGCTCATGCCTGTAATTCCAGCACTTTGGGAGGTCAAGGCAGGCAGATCACCTGGGGTAAGAGGTTTGAGATCAGCCTAGCCAACATGGCAAAACACTGTCTCTACTATAGCTACAAAAATTAGCTGGGCATGGTGGCAGGCACCTAAAATCCCAGTTACTTGGGAGGCTGGGGCAGGAGAATCGCTTGAACCCGGGAGGTAGAGGTTGCATTGAGCTGAGATCGAGCCACTGCACTTCAGCCTGGGTAATGGAGCTACACTCTGTCTCAAAAAAAAAGAATTGCAGATAATTCTAATGTGTAGGTAGGAGTTAGAATCCTGCTCTGTTCCTTGATTCTTGGGCTAGCAGATGAATTCTGCCTTCAAAGCCCATTAGCTTAAGCTTGAATTCTTGCACTGCCAGGTTCTAGCTATGAAGGCTGAACCTGATGGGCGTGGTGGCTCACGCCTATAATCCCAGCACTTTGGGAAGCCGAAGTAGATGGATCCCCTGAGGTCAGGAGTTTGAGACCAGCCTGGCCAATGAAACCCCATCTCTATTAAAAATACAAGAATTGGCCAGGCGCGGTGGCTCAAGCCTGTAATCCCAGCACTTTGGGAGGCCGAGGCGGGTGGATCACGAGGTCAAGAGATCGAGACCATCCTGGTCAACATGGTGAAACCCCGTCTCTACTAAAACTACAAAAAAAAATTAGCTGGGCATGGTGGCACGTGCCTGTAATCCCAGCTACACAGGAGGCTGAGGCAGGAGAATTGCCTGAACCCAGGAGGCGGAGGTTGCGGTGAGCCGAGATCGGGCCATTGCACTCCAGCCTGGGTAACAAGAGCGAAACTCCGTCTCAAAAAAAAATACAAGAATTAGCTGGGCGTGGTGTCATGTACCTGTAGTCCCAGCTACTCAGGAGGCTGAGGCAGGAGAATCGCTTGAATCCAGGAGGCAGAGGTTGTAGTGAGCTGAGATTGAGCCATTGCACTCCAGCCTGGATGATAGAACGAGACTCCATCTCAAAAAAAGGAAATCTGAATCAGTGCTAATCAACAGCACTTGTGCAGCTGTCAAATGGTCTATATCTGCACTGTCCAGCATGGTAAACTTCAGCCACACAGGACTGTCAGGCATTTGAACTCATTGCTAGTGTAACCTAGGGAGTAAACTTTAAAATTTATTTAATTTTAACTAATTTACACATCAGTAGCCACAAGGGGCATAATAGCTACTGTCTTGGATAGCACTGCTCTAGAAAATTACCAAACGTCTCGTGGCTTCACATCTGAAAAATAGGGAATAATAAGGGTTATTTCACGGGATATTGTCAGGATTAGACATAAAGTATAGAAAGTTCCTGGTTCCCACAAAGCACTCAATAAAATGCTGCTTGCTTATTAACATCAGCCTGATACTTAAAAAAAAAAAATTGGAAAACAAATGTTCAGAAGCACCCTGCCACAGAAGCTAAAAACTCGGAGCCATTCCAGAGCAACTCAGAAAATATTCCTTAATTGTAGAAGTTCAATTGCAGCAGGAGGTTATCAGTTACAAGGGCTGTATTTCATTACAGAGCCAGCCGCAGCTCAATAAATTAAGCAATCACTCAGAATAACATGTTGCTTTAATCCCCTCTCTTGGAGCGGTTCCAAGTTGCTTGGTTTTATATGCGCTAGGCCCTGAAAGGCAACTCATACTGGGCTCATTTCTCTCCCCTCAATTCATCAGCCCTGCTCTGGAAACATCTTTGCATCTCCCAACTGGCAGGAGAGAGGATTCCAAGCCAAGCAGCCCTCCTTTTATCAAAACTGGAGTCTTTTCCATCCTCTGGCCTTGACACGTTCCACGTTTCGTTTGCTAAAATTACTGGCAGGTTTATCTGCAATGAAAAAAAAAAAAGACACCTCTTAGCAGCCCAGTTCTGGGCATGTAGAGCTAATTCTCGGCGGCTTTTCCATTCTCGTCTTTTCTCTAGTGGTTTATAATCTCACAGTAGAATGTTGTTTCCCCTGGAAACTTGGCACGGGAGGTGTCAGCCTGGGAACATATTTGTTTGTGTAAATTAAAATAAGAATATGTTTTGGCCGTATTTAAGTTCTAACTGCACTAAAGAAATAAATACTGACTTGCAAAACGCTTCTCGCTGCTGCACGGTTCTGGCTCACCTCCCCAAACTCTGCCTTTGTTAATAAAACCCACACTAACAAGAGCTCTAAATAACTTATCTGCTCAGACAGCTACAGGGACAACCTCAGAGCCCATGTCCGCCCTGACCCAGGCCCACATCGAAAATCCACTTACCTCATTTGGGATTTGCTTCTCCTGACGCACTGAATTCTTGCTGGGGTAGAAAAGGGTATAAGAAACAGCACCCTTACAGGCGTAGGGTTTTTTTGTTTTTTGGGGGGAGGATAGGGTTTTACTTTGTCACCCAGGCTGAGGTGTAGTGGTGCAATCACAGCTCACTGCAGCCTTGACCTCCCGGGCTCAAGCAATCCTCCTGCCTCAGCCCCCCAGGTAGCTGGCACTACAGGCGTGTGTCACGATGCCTGGCTAATTTTTTTATTTTTTGTAGAGACAGGGTTTTGCCATGTTGCTCAGGCTGGTCTTGAACTCCTGACCTCAAGCCATCTTCCCACCTCAGCCTCTCAAAGTGCTGGGATTACAGGCGTGAACCACTGAGCCCTGCCTCTACAGGTATACCCTTGATGTGCCTGTGAATGATAACCTTTTGAAGGCCCTGGGCAATAGCTGTAGAAATTTAAAATGCACACCTCTTGGCTGGGGGTGGGGGCTCACACCTGTAATCCCAGCACTTTGGGAGGCTGAGGCAGGAGGATGGCTTGAGCCCAGGAGTTCAAGGCCAGCCCAAGCAACACAGTGAAAGCCAGTCTCTACTTAAAAAATATAAAAAAAATTAGCTGGATGTAGTGGCGCATGCCTATAGACCCAGCTATTTAGAAGGCTGAGGCAGGAGGATGGCTTGAGCCCAGGAAGTGGAGGTTGCAGTGAGCGGACATCACTCTAGCCTGGGTAATAGACAGAAATTGTCTCAAAAAAAAAAAAACTTCCTCTGACCGAGAAATTCCACTTCTAGGAATTTATCCTACAAGTATTCTTGGCCACATGCCAAAGACTATAGATGTTATAAGGGCAAAATCCTCGAGTTAACTGAAATGTTGGCCAGGAGAAGACAGGTTAAGTATGATGCGATGCTGGAAGTCATTAGGAAGAATGAGGTGGTCCGAGAGCTGTCGGGATATATTATAGCACCCCCAACTTTCTTACCAATATGAGCCAAGAAAAGTGCATGCTTTCAAAATTTATGAAGATCGTGCAAACTGCCCTCAGTGGTCACGTCTTATAAAGTAAGGTTAGAGTTAAAGAAAAATTGCAGGGCAAACGTGGTGGCTCAAGCCTTTAGTCCCAGCACTTTGGGAAGATGAGGTGGGAAGACTGCTTGAGGCCAGGAGTTCGAGACTACCTGGGAAATATAGTGAGGCCCTGTCTCTACAAATAACATTAATAATAAAAAGAATTAAACAAAAGCGGTGGCATGAGCCTGCAGTCCCAGCTACTCTGGAGGCTGAGGTGGGACTATTGCTTGAGTCCAGGAGTTCATGGCTGCAGTGAGCTATGATCACACCACTGTACTCCAGCCTGGGTGACAGAGTGAGACCATGTCTCTAAACAAAATGAATAATTAAAACAGGCAAATCGCCCCTTTATTTCCACCTTATTCTCTTTTGTATTTTTTTTTTTTTTACTATAGGCACAGTTGCATTTTAAAAATTTGGGATAAAGAACACACAATGGTGTTTTAAAAATCATTTCCACACTGTGAGCTGCAGTAGTAATCATACCACAATAATATTCTCTGTATTACATGCCTGCTGGGACAATGGAGTGGGGGCGGGTGGTGGTGGTGAGAATCTTTGCTTTTCTGATTTCTTTATGTAGATAACCTGCAGTGGGCTAAATGGCTGTCCCCAGGGAGATCATAAGTATGTCTACTTTCAAATTGAATCGCTGGGAAAAGACTGATTAAGGATCTTGAGAGGAGGCATTTGTTCTGGATTATCCAGATAGGAACGAAATGAAATCCATGTATCCTTATAAGAGAGAAGCAGAGACCAGGACAGAGAGAAGAGGGAGGTGAGAAGATAGAGGCAGAGACTAGAGTGATGCAGCCACAAGCCAAGGAATGCTAGAGCCACCAGAAGGTGGAAGAGACAAGACATCTTCCCTACTGTGCCTGAAGGGAGTGTAGCCTGCTAGATTTCCAAGTTCTGGCCACTAGAACTTTTTTTTTTTTTTTTTTTTTTGAGACTGAGTTTCGCTCTTGTTGCCCAGGCTGGAGTGCAATGGCGTGATCTCGGCTCACTGCAACCTCCGCCTCCTGGGTTCAGGCAATTCTCTTGCCTCAGCCTCCTAAGTAGCTGGGACTACAGGCACGTGCCACCATGCCCAGCTAATTTTTTATATTTTTAGTAGAGATGGGGTTTCTCCATGTTGACCAGGATGGTCTCCATCTCTTGACCTTGTGATCCACCTGCCTTAGCCTCCCAAAGTGCTGGGATTACAGGCGTGAGCCACTGCGCCTGGCTGGCCACTAGAACTTTTAAATAAATCTGTTGTGTGAAGCCCTGTGGTCTGTGATAATTTGTTATAGCAGCCCCAGGAAAAAGATACAACCATAGTTTCCTTATACCTATTAGAAGCAGCATGAAATGCACAGGTATTTGAGAAAACAACTTTGGTAGACCTGTGTGTGTTGGCAAACACAAAGAATCCATTCCACAGATATTCATTGAGCATCTGTTAGGTGACAGGCACAGTTCTAGGTGCTGAGGATACAGCCAGCAAAGAACACAAGATGCTTGCCCGCCTGGAGCTGACATTTCAATGACATAAAAGTAAACAACGTAGATGGAACACAGAGGAGGGTAGATGGGGGTTGAAAGTGCTAGAGAGTGTGAGAAGCCAGGAAAGAGGGACGGGGGTTTCCAGGAAGGGGTACTGGAGTAGAGGCTTGAAGAAGGTGAGGGCATGAGGGATGTGTCTCCCTGAGGGAAAAAGGTAAATAGGGGCTGGTCATGGTGGCTCATGCCTGTAATCCCAGCACTTTTGGGAGGCCAAGGCAGGTGGATCACTTGAAGTCAGGAGTTCGAGACCAGACTGATCAACATGGTGAAACCTGCCTCTATTAAAAAAGAAAAAGAAAAAAGTACAAAGTTACCCGGGTGTGGTGGCACATGCCTGTAATCCCAGCTACTTGGGAGGCTGAGGTAGGAAAATTGCTTGAACCCAGGAGACGGGGATTGCAGTGGGCCGACATGGCGCCATTGTACTCCAGCCTGGGTGACGAGCGAAACTCCATCTCAGAAAAAGAAAAACGAAAACAGGTAGGCAGAGGGAACAAATACGGAACTTGAGCCTATGAGTGACAGATTGGTTGGACCAGAAAAAATAGGAAAGAACTCCTTTTCTCCTTCCTCCCCTGCCTCCCTCCGATACTTGTGACCTGCCTGGTGTGTACCAGGGCCTGGGGTACAGAGATGAATGAGGCCTCATCCTCAAGCTCAATGTCTCCCCTAGTAGGGGGACAGTCATAAACAGATCATTACAAATTAAATGTGGTAGGCGTCACAGCAGAGGCCAGGGCAGGCTGCACACGCGGGCTAGAGTGGGAAGGTGCGCGGGGTTGGGGTTAAGGTGGGGGAGGTGGGAGTAAAATGACTAGAGCAGGACTTGAAATCCTGGCTGGAAATTAATGGGAGGCGCAGTGGTGAACATGCAGATGGGTCTGGGATTCTTTTAAGTATGGCTGGCGCATCGAGTTCTGAGAATGACCTGTCATCTTCGCTTCTATGCAATCCACGGAAAGGAAAACAGTCCCCAAGTCCCGAATTGGGACACCGTGGGTTGCAAACAACAGATACTGAAGTTGATCTGAATAAGGTAGAATGAGGGATTTTATTCACTGTGTAGCTACTATGAGGATAGGGAAGAGGTTGTGTGTTGCTCTCTGGGATCCAAGGACTGGAAGTTCTGGGTTGTCTTCCTGCCCTATTCCCCCTCACCTCATCGCTCACTTCTCCTTTTCTCTGCTTATTGACCTTAGTGTCTGAGGCCACTGGTAGTTCCAGGTCCACCTCTTTAAGGCCTGAATGCCAAAGAGGAGGAGAGAGAAAAAGAAACACCCTCCCTACAAGCTCTGCAGACAATCCTGAATTTGCCCTGCTTGGGTCACATGACCACACCTGGAGCAATCACTGTGTCCCGGCTCAGAAGTGGGCTGCTGTGATTGGTCATGCTGAGTCACAGGACTATGTACCAATTACTATAGCAGAGGAACAAGTACTGTGGGCGGCCATTTTTGGCCACCTTCCCATGGCATGGTGGGTCTGTTACCAGAAGTGGGAGAGAGTGTGTTGGCAGGAACAAAAAGCCACCTGCCTCCCCCAGGGCCTTCTGACTGTGTTACTGCTACATTCATTCTGCTGGGAATTGTCTCAATCTTGAGCCAGACTCTGCTTTAAGATCCCACTCTGGTTGTCTAACAAACCCCAAAGCTACCAGCCAAGATTTACCCAGACTTGTTGCTGTAGTTCTTTTTTGTCATTGTCATTACGCGATTTTGATCAGATTCACAATGTTTTTGCGTCACTGGTTTATGATTGCCTCTGCCCATAAGCGTCGGAACCTCATCTGTCTTTTGAATATGATACAGCTAGCTCATGCTCCGTCCCCAGCGCCTATGTACAGTAGGTAGGCAAGTAGTGAAATGAATGAACATCCCGCAGAGAGCGGGAGAAGCTGCAGAATTCGCATCTGTTCTCCATGAGTCCCTTTCCGCCTCCCTCTCCACACCTTTCCTAGTTACCCTGTACTACATGACAAGGCTCTGTTGGTGTAAGTGCACCTTGGATCCTATTCATGTAAGTCCCTGGATGTCAACCCAACACACACTGGAGGTTCCGAATCTCTGGGTGTTTGAGTAAACATGATCCTTTGGCAAGGATAATGGAGTTCTGTCTGAGCTCAGATGGACTGGGCACCATGACTGCTTGGCAGTGTCTCCCATGGCCACCTGCCATGTTAGGCATCCCTGGTCCTGCTCTGTGTTGTTTGCTAAACAGGGGGACCTCTGTTTTGTTGTTGTTGTTTTCTCAGAAGGAGTGTCACTCTGTCGCCCAGGCTGGAGTACAGTGGCACTATTCCGGCTCACTGTAACCTCCACCTCCTGGGTTCAAGCTGTTCTCCTGCTTCAGTCTCCTGAATAGCTGGGATTGCAGGTGTGTGCCACCACACCCCTTTTTGTATTTTTAGTAGAGATGATGTTTCACCATGTTGGCCAGGCTGGTCTCGAACTCCTGACCTCAGGTGATCCACCTGCCTCGGCCTCCCAAAGTGTTGGGATTACAGGTGTGAGCCACCGCGCCCAGCT